GTCTCTGCTGGGCCTCCCTCCAGGGGTCCCCGGAGGACGTGCCCCACAGGCCGGGGACCCGCGCCCACTAGTGACCGTGGACAGGCCCCGCCCATGCAGGCCGCAGCCTGGAGATGGGCCAAGTACCTGGGGCAACGCAGGGTCCCCCCCTCCCGCAGCCGGAAATCCGAGTCTAACTTAGGGTCCCCCCCAAACGTCACTGTGGATAGGGACCTGCTGACCCTGCTGACCGGAAGCCTCGCCCGCGACGTGCACGGTGCACAGTAGCCCCGGTTGCGGGGCCTGTGGGCTCTGCTCCGTGCGCCGCCCCGAGGGAGCCAGGGGACGGCAAGTGTCACCGGGAAATCGCGGGGGAGAGGAGATACGTCATCGATTGAATGCGACCGCATCGCCTCCATCAGCGTCACCCCCACTGTCGCCTTCAGGGGATGTGCTAGGGAATCGGCCATAAGGAGGTTCAGGAATCCTTCTTCCCAGCCAGACGCCGCCCCCAACACCCAGGAAAAACCCCGGCGCCCCGGCCGGTGTGGCTCAGTGGATAGAGCGTCTGCCGGAGGAGACTGAAGGGTCCCGGGTTCGATTCCGCTCCAGGGCATGTACCTCGGTTGCAGGCTCCTCCCTGGCCCCGGGCCCTGGTGGGGGCCTCTTCTCTGTCTCTCCCTCTCTCTCCACTCTCCCTAAATATCAATGGAAAAATACCCTCAGGCGAGGATAAAAAAATAAAAATGAAAAAGTAGTATCTTTAAAAAACACACACAAAAAAGAAACAAAAAGGAAACCCCGATTGTCATGGACACGTAAGGCTCGCCCGCAGGCAGCTCTAGGGTTTGGGGGTCCAGGCTGTGGCTGGGGCTGTTTGCTGGGCAGGAGGTATAGACGGAGTGGGGTGGGGTGGGGAGGCGGGGATCTCTCCTCTCTACTGCCCTCTCCCCTCCCCTCCCCGGCCTTTCACGAAGACATTCGTTCGTGGGCCTGGCCCGTGCACCGTCTAAGACAGTGATGGCGAACCTATGACACGCGTGTCAGAGGTGACACGCAAACTCATTTTTTTGGTTGATTTTTCTTTGTTAAAAGGCATTTCAATATATAAAATAAATATCAAAAATATAAGTCTTTGTTTTACTATGGTTGCAAATATCAAAAAATTTCTATATGTGACACGGCACCAGAGTTAAGTTAGGGTTTTTCAAAATGCTGACACGCCGAGCTCAAAAGGTTCGCCATCACTGGTCTAAGAGCTCCCTGCCCGGTTCTGCTCACCTAGGAGGCTTGCAGGTCTGCTGCTTCGTCCCGAGAAACCCCCAGCCTCCCTCCCCGCCTGCAGAGAAGGGACCGGGGTGACTGGACGCGAGCTCGCTGTGTCTCACGCTATGACGCACTCAGCGTGTGTGATCCTGCTTCCTGCGTTCAGTTCAGTGACTGCACACCCCTTCCTCCAGGCGGGCACTTGTAACACCCTCACTGCCCACCCCCTCGGGCTCAGAGGCGTGAGAAGGCGCCCAAGGTCAGGCCCCTCAGACCCGAGTCCAGTTCATCCGACTCCGAGCCCGTGGCCTCCTCTGCTTTCCTGCCCTGCCACCCCCGCTTCACAGACGGCGAAGGTGAAGCGAGTCCCGGAGGAGAAGGCGGCTGGTCCAGGGTCCCGGTGTGACCGGCCAATAGCAAAGCCAGGGCCTGACACGGGTCGGTCGGCTCCGAGAGGCCCCGCTTTGGGTTCTTATTGCGGTAAAACTGGTGTATAAGAGTATCTACACATCAGGGGCACAACATTATAATTCTTTTTTTTTAAATATATTTCTTTATTGATTTCAGAGAGGAAGGGAGGAGAGAGAGATAGAAACATCAATGATGAGAGAGAATAATTGATTGGCTGCCCACCACTGGGGATCAAGCCTGCAACTCAGGCATGTGCCCTTGGCCGGAATCGAACCTGGGACCCTTCAATCCGCAGGCTGACGTTCTATCCACTGAGCCAAGCCGGGCAGGGCATATAATTCTTTTAAAGTTATTTCTAAATACACTTTCATTGATTTCAGAGAGAGAGGAAGGGAGAGGGAGAGAAACATGAATGATGAGAGAAAACCATTGATCAGTTGCCTCCTGCACGCCCCACACTGGGGATGGAGCCCGCAACCCTGGCCTGTGCCCTTGACCGGAATCGAACCCGGAACCCGGGACTCTTCAGTCCGCAGGTCGACGCTCTATCCACTGAGCCAAACCGGCCGGGGCAACATTGACGTATTGACGTGGTAGCATCCCTGGGTCTCAGAGGTCACGCTCTCCGACTCACGATGCCCCGGGACACTCACAGCCCTCGGCCCGGCGTCCTCTCAGGCCGGCCCGCCTCC